TTTTTATTGGAAGATTTATCCCACCAAAATTTCCCAGGCTTGCCACATTTAGCTACTGCATCATCAATCCCAGATGATACTGCACATGCATCAACCTCAAATGAACCAAATGTTACAACAAAGGGAGAATGGCTCCAATTGGTCTTCACTCTTCCTCCTTCTGTAGCCCAATCATCTCCGTTCCACAATGATCCATGGATTCCCATTGCTTGAGCTTTTGGAAATTGCACACCCATTTCTTCTTTCTTTTCAAACACTCTTATTGGGACTTGATCAACTTGAAATCTGGTAAAATTTGCCATTGCAATTGAGAAAAAAAAAAGTTTTTAGCTTTACATGGTTACCATTAATTAATAAAATCATGGTTTTGTTAGGAAGAAACTTGTATCTCAGACAAAGTTTGGCGAATGTGAATATTTTATCACATTTTGCAAAGTTAAACATCTTAGCCGAGACCATGCATTAGCTTGGCTCTTAATCCAGTGTACATATTATATAAAGGGTACCGGAATTTAGAAATTGCAGAATGCAAAACTGTCATGTAAAAGGAAATTTTTTTTATCAATGATGTAATATTTTGAATTAGATTTTACCAGCACAAAATTGTGTAGTAAAGATAATAATTAAGTAGCGTCCTAACCATGTGCTACTTCCTTTTTAACCCTCACTTTCCAACTATAAACCTAGTTCCATCAGCAAACAGTATATAAACTCATATGTGTTTCTGTGTATGTATTTCAGCCTGGTAGATTTCTCTCCACTTAATTAAGTATCGATCCAAGAAAGTATGGTGCAAAATTTAGGGAAAAAAATACTCAAAAAAGTGGTACTATTACATTATAAAATGGTGATTCCAGAAGAAGGTATAGTTGTGGAAGTCAGTGGTGGGATCAAACCATAGACTATGCCTTTGCTCTCTGTCTCCAGTCCCATTCACGAATAAATTTGTTTGTACAAGATAAGGTTCTCCTGAAACATTGCCCAGAAATTCAAAATCTAACTCGTCGTGATTAGGCCCGTCTGCTGTCAACTGCATGCATTTGAAATCAACTGAATACTCAGTGATTGATAACTTTAGTCATTTCTCAGTTAAATAAAGAGCACATTGACTAATTACACAATCTATAGCTGAAAATTACCATTTAAGATTGAAGCCATGATTAAAATGAAAATTTTTCTAACACAGGCAATACTAAATATAGAAGCTTTTTAGGTTAACGAAATAATGCCAAATTAATATACTTACATAATAGGCTGTGACTGTTCCAGCTGAATCACCTTGAACTAGTTTGATTTGTGCACTGATTTTCCCAAATAGATATTTGTTCTTGGACATAAAACCACAACCTGTGAGACCAAACCCTCTTTCATGTCAAAAAATAGCATGGAAAAAAAAACTAAAACACAAAAATGGAAGACAGTAGTGAAGAATGATCTACCTGTTGCGCTGTCAAGGTTTAATCTGACATGGTCTCCTTGAGTGGTAATGTGGTCAGGTGCCCATATGGGCTCGAAGAGTTCACTAAAATAGGCAGAAGCCATAACATTTAGGAACATAGCTAGGTAGCTAAAACTCAAGAGAAATATTCTTAACATTGTGAAATTCTGCATTTTGTTGAAAAATGACAAGTGCTAACAAAGTTTGAGGCCAGTTTTTATAGACCTAAAACTGGGCACCAGGGCAGCTAAGATGACATGGAGTTTCAGAAAGTGGGAGCAGGAAGATCCAAATGGAAATTAGTATAACCCTTAATCTGTACAATTTTGTTAGCACTGAACAGTCACTTGGTGCAAGTTGGAACTGCAACAACTGCATAATCCCTATTCTTTTTGCTTCCTTTCTGTTTCTCTCTATTTGTCATTTTCTATTTTCAGGGACTTTGGTTAGGGAATTAAAGGTCCCATTAGAGAGGGGATTTGGTTACACTTATGAGAGAATCTAATACAGACTGAATGTATTAACCATATATATAAACTAGACCATTTTTTTTATTAGAATTTGTTCTTTTCGGTTTTTGATCATCTATAAGACTATGAAAGATAACCACCCCTGAATGTATTATATGTATAAACTAGAGAACTTTTATCATATATTGTAAAAATTTTTGGATTTACCTTTAGTCTTTGCAATTTTTACGAAACAATGGCTTTCTCCAGTGGCTACAAAAGTTTTAATAACCATTTCTTTTTATTTTTTTGGTCCTATGGTGGAAAGAATAAACCATTCTTTACAGCGATATGATATAAACCCAAAAGGTCTAAAGAAAAAGCGAAATTTCTGTTCGCTGGCATTCTAACATCTTGATAATAAAAAATTGAATAATCAAGTTAAGAGAATAGAGTAGCAAAGAATTTATTCCTTTTTCTCTGTTTTGCTGTGGTATATATTAAAACTTTGCTGTTATGTATTTCATATAAAATGTCATGCAGTTCTTTTTCTTACCTTTTTCAGAGCAGTTTGAAAATCATGTGCCATATTTTGAGTCTTGGTTCCAATAAAAAGAGGAAAAAAAATTCCTTTTTGTAGATAAAAAAAATTGAGAATTAATGACGTAGCTGCAATTTCAGCACTTGAACTTCAACGTGTTATGTTATACCCGGTCCTTTGTTTCTACATTCATTTATTGATGATTGAATATTATCTACTGTTGCTATAAACTCACAAAAGAAAAAAAAATACAATTAATCTGCTGAGATGGAAAAGAAATTGCTCCAGTATTTAGTTTTAGGGTGAAAATGATAATTATTAAATGGATACAGTTGATGGAAATTTGTTCATCTTTCATTTGAGTCAATTTTATTTTAAACTTTTCCCCTCTAAAAATATCCCTCCATGTAGTAACATCTTCTCAGGTTCTTTCTTCTTTATATTTTCTCCCTCCCAACTTTCCTTTTCCACATTTTCCCCCCATTTTCCACATTTTTTTGTTGCTGGTATTCTTTTCATTCATTTTTTGTCATTTAGGCTACTCTTACATTTAAAAAAAAATATATTAAAAGATTTCGCAGAAAGATAAGCGAATAGGAAAGGAAGGGATAAAAAAAAAGAAAAAGAAAGAAATTGGTAGTATTACACTCTAGAAGACACAATTAATTATCTGTTTTTGACCATATGACGCCTTTTAGCTAACAATTCTTAGGAAAGACAGAACTGACTTGATGTACTGATTCCAAATACAATTCCTTTTATCTGTGGGGCAACTTAATTTTTCAATATTTCCCAGGAAGGCAATAATAGTGTGTCCTTCAGAATTCCAAATACATCATCAGAAAGGAAGAAAGGTGCTCAGAATTCTATCAATCAAAGGTGCCCGGAAATCTAGGAAGAAAGGTCCCAGAATTCTATCAATCAAAGGCATACTCCCACAAAAAAAAAAGCTTTAAACTGAAGAGGGACAGTTTTGTTAAGGGGAAAAAATTTGTTGAAATTTAGGATGATGGGCTTGTCTCCTGCATGGGTACCAATCTCCTAAAGAGGTTGGTTCTTCTTTGGCTCTGCTCAAATCCCACTACACACTCTTTGCGAACCATTAGTCCAAAGGAATATCCTCATCTTGCTAAGTGAGACAAGATTTCTTAAGAGACTTTTCATGAGTGATGAGAAAGGGCTAAGAACGGAGATAAACCTCCTGCCAATTATCCGTGGCTCCTTTCTATGATTGCATATTTGGGATTGGATTTGGCACTCCATTAGTGGAGTGTTAATTCGTTTTTGAATTCGAACTCGAGTTGGTTACAAATTAAACTGAAATCGAGTCGAAACTGTGTGTTAAGATCGATCTCATTTAATTTACAGCCATAGCCATAGTTACTACTCAAATTGGTGTATGATGTTTGATGACATTTGATTGGTTTGAGAATAGTGGTATCATTTGCAAAACGAAAGGAAGAAGAAATGTTTGATGACGTCTGATTTGTTTGACTACATTGGAATGAAATAGAAATTAACAAGAAGAAGCATAAAAGTAAACAAGAAAAGGGGAAAAAAAAAGAAATCGAAATCAATGTAATATTCTCAATAACAGGTCTCTATATTTGTGGAATCAGAATAAATTTTTTTTCTTTTTTCGTGATTCAGCAAATTTTCTCTCTATTCGGCTTTTTTTTCCCCCCGGTAATCGGGTCGATTGGGACATACGATGGATGGAAGCAGTTTTCCACCGAGAAAAAGCCACTTTTTCGTCCTATAGTTTCGATTTAACAAATTGTTTTTCTCCAACGTAAGAATTTGGCAGCTATCGGACAAACGAAGTCTCAATCAATGGATTTCTTAGTACACTCTTTTCTTCTTTTTTTTTTTTTAAATGTAATTATACTATTATAGTCATCCTATTGTCGTCAAAGTCAATAATCTTTGGATCGTTAGTCCAAAGGAATAACTAAAAGTGGTCCAAAAGTAACCAAAATGAAGGAATTTTGGCCTAAAAAATGGGTTCAATAAATTTAATCAGGTAGATTACGGAGCTATAGCCTCTTAAAGACGATTCAGACACTGTCTTATAAACTCAAAAGTTCTTCTCGAGCTAAAGGTTAATAATATTTGTTTAAAATTTGTTGCACGTTCAAGTTTCTTCCAACCTTAGCTTGCCATCGAAAGGTCTTGTGAGGTCCAATAAGACTTGAAAATTTGTTCGACATCAGCTGGTTAATGTTTCTGGATTAGTTGTTTTATGTATGTATTATTGTTACTATCATTGTGGGTTAATTGTAATTTTATCATACTGAGGATTTAGTAATTTAAGTCCTTCACTGAGGATCTTTCCCGTGTTGCACTGTGGAGGATTCCAATTACTTGACTAGTTTAGCAAAAGCACAAGGGGCAGTGGCAGCCCAAGTATAATTTTTCCACTTTTCGTCAGTTTCCTTGTAGTCAGCCTTTCCCACTTCATAGTATTCCCCAATCAGGCAATTTTTTATTTTGAGAAATGAAAAGGACATTCATCCTTATATCAGCATTAGCAAGACAGCGCAAGAAAACCATATTCTAGCGTTTACCGAAGATGCCGAGAATGGGCAGATCTTGCAGGCAATATTTGGCAACTCTTTCTTGCGTTTTTGCTTTTTATTTCTCCCTGTTCTGTGTTTCTCAAGGTAAAGATACACTTGGAGTTAACGAATCCATACTTGTATACCATGGAGACTTATTGGAGTCTTCCAACCAGCGTTTTCGGCTCACCATCAGTCATCCCTTTAGCTGGTTATGGGTCCTGGTGATCCAATACATGTCCATGCTTCGATCAATTGACGTCTGGGCCAGCGACAGCTACCAGACTCCAGCCAGCAAAGAGCCTGCATTTTTAACCATGAATGCAGATGGAAGGCTGGTTGTATATGACACTTCTCACAGTCCTGTAATCGTTGTGAATTCTGAACAGCCTATTATGATTAGCAACACTACTGCAATTTTACTTGACAACGGGAACCTGGTTTTAAGAGCACCTGGAGGGAATATTGTCTGGCAAAGCTTTGACTATCCGAGTAATAAATGGCTTCAGGGAATGAAACTTGGGATTTTGCAATCAGGTACAAGATTTCTAACTTCATCACCAAGCTATAACCAACCTTCTTCTACATTAGGCGTTGATTTGAATAATACCAAGGAGATTGCTATTATGCAAGAAGGAGTGGTTTATTGGAGAAGTGGGACATGGGATGGCCAAAAGCTCAGCTTTCTTGATATATCGGATAGTTTTGGTTTCAATTTTTACTATGTATCCAGTCCAAATGAGACCTATTTCACATGGAATAGTAGTACTGATCCCTTTGCCTTACTAATTTTTAGCGAAAGTGGGAATATTACAGTTCGTAGTGGGGATTTTACCAATGCACAGGCATTGGCAGTTTGTGATGTAATCACTTACAGGAGCACGAAAGATCAGTCCAAAGGGTGTACGAATCCTTGTGGCGTCGGTGATGGATTTAAGGAAATAATGGGTGACTTGGTTGCGTGGGATGAAGTGTCCTATAATGACAATGCTCTTCGCTTTTGTAAGTTGAGATGCAGAAGAAACTGTTCGTGCTATGCTTATTCTAATACTGCATACGATCAGGACGGTGTTGCTATGGGCTGTAAAATGGCTATCAGACGACATGGACAACTTATTTCTTCAAATAAACAAACAATTTTTGCCCGCGAAAGCTTTGTTTTGGAGAAAGGTACACGCAAACTGTTTCTGTTTTAACTTGTGTCTTTGTTCAAGTGCTTGTTCAACTCATAATATTAGTTGGTTGAAGTGATTAATCCGAATTCATCTAGATATGGTGAGCACAAATTGGAACACACCGAAACTGATGAACTTGAATGATGATGATTTTCACTTTTGAAATTAAAAAAAAAAAGAGAGAAAAAAAAGCGCATAGAAAACTTGTACATTAAGGAACTTTTAATTTCTTTTAGCTATGATATCAAGCTGCAGTATCTTTCATTTTTTCCTGTGCATGTTGTTTGGCTACAACCAAGCTAGGTCTTCCATCTATCCCATCACCTGAGCTTGCTCCATGCCGAAAAAAGAAGTCAGAGACCTGGAAAGTGAAGTTATCTATTGGTGGTGCTCTACTAACATTTTTGGGGGCTCTTACGTTACTTTACCTGTGTTGTAATCGACAAAGCAAAATTCGTCGCCATGAAGGTAGATTAATGTTAACTGACTGTCAATCATGAGTTTTTTAGGGAAGTTCGAGCAGGTTTACTGTTGCTTGAGCTATTGTTGCTTGATCTGTCAGGTTTAGAGAAGTTCCAGCAGCTTCATGAAAAAAGGGATGATGAATCATCTGTTGTCGAGTCTACCAGCATAGAAATGGCAACAAATAATTTTTCTGATGAAAACAAACTTGGTCAAGGAGGATTTGGTCCAGTGTACAAGGTAACGAGGCTATCATCTCTAGACTCTTAAGGACCTAGCATTCTAATTTCTTTTTGCTATTGCATTATCTCAAGACTTTTAACTGGCTTTAAATAACAAGTTTTGTGGTCCAGGGAAAGTTGTCTACTGGGCAAGAGATTGCGGTGAAAAGATTGAAAATAATGTCAGGCCATGGAATTGAGCAATTCAAGAATGAAGTGACAGTGATCTCTAAGCTGCAACATCGAAACCTTGTAAAACTTTTGGGATACTGCATTCATGGGGAGGACCGGATACTAGTTTATGAGTACTTGCCCAATGGTAGCTTGGATTCATTTATTTTTGGTGAGTTTAACTATCGTTTTTTTTTTTTTTTGCCCAACATGTGCTTGGAGAGTTGTACCGACTTCAAATCAATTTCATCAATTTTCTTTTCTCTTGTCTATTTACAAACTTAGTTATAAAAAAAAAGACACGATATATATCATATTTTCTTGTCTATGGCTTGTTTAATGATAATCATTTACCCACTATTTTGTGTGTGTTTGTGCATTTTTTTTTCACAGATACTACAAAACGGGCAGTACTAGATTGGAGAAGGCGTTCCAGTATTATTGAAGGGATAGCTCAAGGGCTGTTGTACCTCCACAAGTATTCCAGATTAAAAATCATCCACAGAGATCTCAAAACAAGCAATGTTTTGTTGGATAATGACCTGAATCCCAAGATTTCTGATTTTGGGACAGCAAGAATTTTTGGAGATGATGAATCACGTGCAAATACATTGAGAGTCGTTGGGACTTAGTGAGTACCAATTCAATCTTCCTGCTTGCTAAATTCCATCTTCCGTAATTATGATAATATCAGAATGTATGGAGATTAAACTTAGTTAGTGCGGCAATGAAACAGTGGCTACATGTCTCCTGAATATGCCATGAATGGCATCATCTCTGAGAAGTCTGATGTTTACAGCTTCGGAGTCATGATGTTGGAGATCATAAGCGGAAAGAAGAACACAACTTTCAATGACACCGATGATCATTTAAACTTAGTAGGACATGTGAGTATATATCTTGACACATTTACAGACAGTTACATGCAATTTCTCAGTTTTTAGTTCCATGCATTTTCTGAAGAATGATTGTGATCACTGACATTTCTTGCTCCTAAACATTTGATCAGGTGTGGGATTTATGGAAAGAAGGAAGGGTTTCGGACATTGCAGATCCTAGTTTTGGAGAGACAATTGCCATGCATGAAATTTCAAGATATGTTCAAGTTGGGCTGTTGTGTGTTGAAGAAAATGCAGCCGACAGACCAACCATGTCTGACGTTATTTCCATGCTAAATGGAACACTAGTCAGTCTTCGTGTTCCATATCGACCGGCTTTTTCTGCTGCTACCGGCGGCCGGAACAATGACAATTTGGTTCAGAATGCAGAACCTTGCTCCAACAATACAGTAACAATTTCGGATTTGGAGGCTCGATGACATTTTTTTCAAGCTAAATATAAAGCCATTTGTATTGTTTCTGCACTACTGGATTTTTATTTTTGTTTTTGTTTTTTTCCCCAGCGGTATATATCTTCTGTAATATCTTCTCAATTTTTTAAGGCAAAATTTTTACGAGTCCCTTTGTCTCTATGCTTGGTACTTCTCGGAAGAGGTTTCTCTCTTTTTTTCTTTGTAAACATTTTTGTGGATTCGCTTTTGGTTATCAGTCTATGTTGCTTTTACGTATTGTTTAAAGAAATTTAAAAGCTTTGGCACGCAGGTAAACACAAGAGAAAGCTACACATGCATTGCATCACTTTAGTCTCCAAAAGACACAATTAACGTCTAAAAGAGGATCATTTTCCAAATCCCTTTTTGACCATATAACTCCGCGTGATTAACCGCACTTTGACGGGCATAATTGATTCCAAGGTTTCACTTTGTAGAATAAAGGATTCAAGTGAATAGCATGATTTTAATATTTACCGGCTATGATTTCGCATTGGGCAAATTACACTTTACCCTCTGTAGTTTAGTATTTTTTTTATATAACCCCCCTATGGTTTCAAAAGCTGTACATAACCCCCTCATGATTTGAATTAAAATATCAAAGTGATGAAAATAATCATTCGTAACGAAGTCACCTAAAATGTCAAAAATACACTTTGTAAAGTTAAAAATTATTTATTAATCAAGGGGGGTTATGTGTATATTTTAAAAATCATAAAGAGGTTATATGATAAAGTATTAAACCATAAAGGGGTTATATGGTAAAACATAAAATCATACGGAGTTAGTGTGTCATGTATTTATAAGGGTAATTTCGATATTTTTAAAAGTTCCGTTACGAATAACCATTTCCGTCACTTTGACACTTTAATCCAAACTACGAAAGGGTTATGTATAGTTTTTAAAACCATAGAAGGGTTATGTAGAAAAATACTAAATCACAGGGGGAAAAGTGTAATTTACCCTTTCGCATTCTACCATATGGAGCCAAGTAAATTACACTTTACTCCTCTATGGTTTAGTATTTTATTACATAACTCTTCTATGATTTCAAAATCTATGCATAACCCCCCTTATACTATGGATTAAAATGTCAAAATGGCGAAATTTATAATCCATAACGGAGTCAACTAAAATATCAAAAATAACCCTGTATAATTTTAAAAATTATTTATTAACTACAGGGGATAATGTATATATATTGAAAATTATAAGGGGGTTACATGGTAAAATACTAAATTATAAGGCGGTTATATGGTAAAATACAAAATCATATAGGGTTAAAGTGTCATGCATATTATGTTTATATATTTTAGTCATTTCAGCCATTTTAGTTTTTAAATAAAGGTAATTTTGACATTTTTATAGGTTTCATTATAGATGATCATTTTTGTCACTTTGACACTTTAATCCAAATTATGAGAGGATTATATATAAATTTTAAAACTATAGGGGGTTATGTCAAAATTAGCTACATCACAGGGGGGGAAATGTAATTTGCCCTCTAGAGCCCCCATACTGGTATCCAACATAGCTTTCCACATTTAGCTACAGGATCACTAATCCCAGATGCATCAGCCACGACTGATCCGAAAGTTGCAACAATGGGGGGAATTGCTTTGGAAATGGCACACCAATTTCTTCTTCATTTTCAAGAACTTTGATGGGGGCTTCATCAACTCGATATCTGGTAGAATTCTGTGTTACAATTGACAAAAGAAGTTATTTTGCTTTACATGATCACCATAAAAGAATGAAAATGAAGAAGAAGAAGAAGAAAAACGTAGACTCCAGTGCTTATAAGATGATATGGAGATTTACGTCATAGGAGCAAGAAGATACAAATGGAATTAACCAGTGCATAATTCTTATTCTTTTTGTTTCCATTCTGGTTTTCTCTATTTGTCATTTTTCTACTTTCAGGGATTGGTGTGACAGGTACGAAAAATCTAATAATGCCATATAATACAAAATATATACTAATAACTTTAGAATTGGTTGTTTTTGTTATAAATTAAGTCATCGTGGATCATGCTAATGAACTAAGTCTCATGAAAAAAAAAAATCACAGCTATTTTATTGACGAATTCAATAGTGATCTAATGCAGGTTAAAAATTCAGGCTTATGAAGTGCTCGACCCAATACCTTTCGAGGGCTTAACAAAGGGTGTATTCAAACCGAGTCGACTACTCGAGCTCGACTTAAGGTAAAATAACTAAATTCGAGATCGAGCTTTAGTTCGTCAAATTTTTAGAAGTCGAACTTGAGTTCAAACTCGACTTCAATTTATGTTACTTGAGTTCGAGCTCGAAATCGAGTTTTATTAAATTTAATCAACTCAAATCAAGTTCAATCGAGCCTATTCGAACTCAATCAAGCATAATCAAACTCATATAATAAAAATTAATATTTTGCATATAATTTTAAATAAAAGATATTATTGATATTTCATAATAATAAAGATAAAAAAAATTAAAATATATATTATAAAAAAATCAATTAGTCTCATCGAGCCTTTGAGTGTAAAATATTGAAACTCGAGCTTGGCTTGCTGCTTCTATCGAGCAGTTCGAGCTTTGTCAAAATGAGCTCGAACCGAGCTATTGACAGAGTAGTTTGCAAGATCGAGTCAAGCTATTCGGTTTAGTATCACCACGCCTAGGCCTAACACCTTGTGCATTTTGAGAGCTTAACTTCAAGAATTCTCATGATCATGAAATAGTAATTAGGCCATTAATTAACCAGATTAGTCGTTTAATCGAAACTGATTTAAACTTTGATCTTAAATTTGAACTCAATAGTGTGTTTCTAATGCGTGTACATAAAGTTGGCTATGAACCATTGCCTTCTCCGAGTGGCTCCATTATTATCATCGTCATCATTATATTGGGTGCAGAAGCGGCTCCCAAAATCCTAATCTGTGAAACTGCCTTTTAAGTTCTAGCGTTAATCACCATTCACAAAGAAATCGACTTGTCAAAAACAGGAGGCGCCACAAACGACATAAAATAATAAAATTTCTCCCTCCCCCCTCCAAATTTCCATCCTTCTCCACGTTTTATTTGTTGGTTCTTCTTTCCATGTATATCTGTCAGACTATCACTGATACATTTTATTTTGAAACGTTGACAAGGCATACATGAAAATTGACCTAAGAGTCAGTCATGCATTGTGTCCATTCATTTCTACCGACAAATAGCTTAATAATTGCCAAAAAAAGAAAATTCCAGGTTTCCTTTTGACAATGCATCCCCTGTCGTGAATCAACAATTCTTTGGAAGGACAGGAGTGACTTGACTTGATGGTTTCCTTCATACGATAGAGGGTAACAGCAATCTGCTATATTTTAGTAATTAATGATTCCTAATTAATTATAATCTGCCTACCATCCGTACGATCATATTCAACATAATAAACATAGTAAAACTTTAGAAAGAGACACAAGGGCATGGGCTACATGATTATGAATTTTAATAATGTATTTAGGCGGTTTAGATTATGATAAGAAGGAGATTAAAGTATGAGAGATGTGGAATAATCCAAATTACAAGAACTTTTGCTTACTTTCTTGTCGGCAGGGAGTATTTTTGTAATCCAGTAATTGTTTGAGCTTTTGAGTTCAACGAATTGCGTTAACCAAAATAATAGAATCTGGGAGGCAGCTGAGCAAGGCTAGCTGTCTCTCAGTCAAAATTTATTATTTATCTCTTGACGGGTTTTCCTCATATTTAATAGAATAAGTTTGTTGACTTGACTTGACTTGTTTACTTTTCGAGCATTGGACTTTATTAATCTAAAAGGAAAAAATAAAAATAGAATAGAGTCAATATTACGATGTTCATGTAAAAGTACAATGTAGGAAACTTCATGCTTATATGCAGAGTATTTTTGGTGCAATCATGACAACTAAAACCAAAAGTTGTTACCACATAATCGCCTCAATTTGTACGTATTAAAGGATTGTTAGATTTGTTTAAACAAGTAGATTCCAGTATATGAACATAACAATTTTAAAATTTCTACTATCTTTTCCATACAAATTACATGCATTTAGACCCCATAAATATATTTCTACACTTTAAACAGAAAAAAAAATGTTTCTACACTTCAAGTGGTAGGAAGACTAATTCTAGTTCAATAATGTAAGTTTCAATACTTTATATATGTATTGACATATGTACATACAGAGGAGGGGCAGGAACAGTTGCATTCTGGAAGGTTGATGGCCAAGATTTGGCACAAAAAAAAAATGTAAGATTCAGATTGCATCTTATACATCGTTTTTCACACAATGTGTGGGATTTTGTTCTATAATTACATATTATTGAAAATGAGTTACACCGTTTGCATACAAAATTACATCTTATGCATTTTGCACAAAATCGGTCTAAATGATTTTTCTGATGACTGTTCGAGCCCCGTGTCCTGTAGATACATACATTTATGTGTGTCTCTAGCTATAAGCTCTTTTTACCTTTTCAGCCAGCATTCAATGTTCTTATTATTATTATTATTATTATTTTTACTTTTTCAGCTAGTATTCAATGTTTCTATTTTTTTTAAAATTTCATAAATTAAAAACACTTCAAGCAGTAAGTTCCTTCTAGTATTTCAAATTGAGCATCTTAATTCAGTTTATTGAAATATTCAAAATAATCCCCATTTCACATTCTTATAAATTTCAAAGTTTCCTCAAATCCAAAATAAATAGCATTACACGTAATTGAAAAACAGAATACGAACTTAAACGTATCTGCTTCCCAATTTTTCCCTTACATTTTTTGCTTCAACTTTTATCAACAGCTTAGCTATTAGGGTGATTTAAAGATTATGATAACTGCAGACTTAGTGTGTTTTAAATGAAATTATAAGATGTCAAGTGTTAACAATTGGTAACTTTAGTGTACAAAGGGTCTAAAATGCCAGTTTAGGGTGCAATTAAAGTCATTAAAAAGTATGAAGCATGCAAAAATTTTATAGGTTAAATTATTAATTTAGTACGTACATTTTTGTTGTTCCATTTATTATCACATGACTCCTCTAATATTTCAAAATATTTACAATACTCTCCTCAGTTTTTAAGTAAAGTGAAAATGTAAGGGAAATCAATCATGATAATTGAAATGCTAGTATTGTCCTTATTTAAATACTGAATATAACCGGGGCTGATATATACAGACTCTTTTACTCTTTTTTTAGCTGGTACCCAATTATGACCCGGAGAAATTATAAGAAACACGAAGTTGCCTTGCCAAATTAGAAATAGACTCATCTCCGTTGGCTTCCTTCTGAAACTATTGGTCATCAGATGTGTACATTAAATCTAATGCTTATCCAACTTTTTACTAGTTTAACTATTTAAGTTCTCTTTCGGGCTCTTTCCCAAATTGCAGTACAGTGAAGTAATAGCGAAAAGCACCTGGCTGCAGAAGTATATTTTTCCCAAATGAGCTTCATTCTTATTTGATCACCGACAAGATTCAATTCTGCAGCTTCACAAGGCAAAAAAGAAAGTAAAAACATATACTAGTCTTTACAGACGTTATCAAGAATGGGCAATCAGTATTTGGCAATCTTGTACTGCATTTTTGCTTATTATTTCTCCCTGTTTTGTGTTTCTCAAGCTAGAGATACGCTAGGCGTTAATGAGTCCCTAGTTGTATATTATGGAGACTTCTTGGAGTCTTCCAACCAGCGTTTTCAGCTCACCATCACTCATCCGCTTAGCTGGGCATGGTACCTGACGGTTCTGTATGTGTCTATGCGTCAAACCATCGACGCCTGGGCTAACGACAACTACCTGATTCCTGCCAGAACTGAGCCCGCATATGTAACCATGAATCCTGATGGAAAGCTAGTTGTGTATGACATTTCTCACAATCAGCTGATCGTTGCAAACTCTCAACAGCCTGTTTTCATTAGCAACACGACTGCTACTTTACTCGCTAATGGAAACCTGGTTTTGAGAGCTCCTGGAGGTAATACTGTATGGCAAAGTTTCGATTATCCTACCAATAAATGGCTTCAAGGCATGAAACTTGGGGTTTTTGGATCAAGCACAATCCTTCTAACTTCAAAGCCAACATTTGGGGATCCTGCTTCTACATTAGGAATTAATCCGAACAATACAAAGGAAATTGTTATTATGCAAGATGGAGTGGTTTATTGGCGGAGTGGGATATGGAATGGCCAGAATTTCAGCTTTCTTGATATCTCAGATGATTTTGGATTGAATTTTTACTACGTTTCAGATTGGAACGAGACATATTTCACATGGAACAGTAGCACTGATCCCTATGCCCTATTCATCCTTGCTGCAACTGGACAAATTCATGTTAGTAGTGGGGACTTTACTGATTCTCAAGCATTGGCAGTTTGTGACATGATTGATGGCAAGACTTGGAAAAATCAGACCTTGGGGTGTACGAATCCTTGTGGCACTGGCGATGGATTTAAGGAAATAATGGGTGACTTGGACGCGTGGGATGAAATATGGAATAATGACAATGCCCTTCATTATTGTAAGTCGATATGCAGAAAAAACTGCTCGTGCTATGCCTACTCTAATACAACATGCGATAACAATGGTGTTGCGCTGGGCTGCAAAATAGCTACGAGAAAGAAAGGAAATCTTATTTTTTCAGATAAACAGAAACTTTTCGTCCGCGAAAGCTTTGTTTTGGTGAAAGGTACACTCAAAATGGTTCCTTTTTCTTTTTTGTTTATCCTGTCCTGTTTAAATATTTGATTCCATAAAAGTATTTCTTCTCATAAGATTTGATGGAACATATGCATGTAGAAGTCGAAGCTTGCCCCAAAAGAATAAAATAATAAAATAAAAAGTTGTAGCTTGTGTTCATTTTTCTTTTTCTGCTTCCTCTCTTTGCATCTGAATTGTCCAATAATTGTTCATGTATTGTACGCCATTTTATGCAGAATCTAGGTAGCGTGGAAAACAAATTTGGCAAGATTCTACCAAGAAAAAAAGTTTTCTTCTAATCTGTGCCAATGAGGCACAATGTTAATCATCTGGAAAGATTTAGCAGTATGTTAACAATGACAAAATACCGTACAACTTCATGTGGTTGTCTAAAATCTATGACTGCAGATCCTATATTTGAAACTTTAACGTTTTTGGGTAGCACAATCCCTACACTAAGGTGATTAATAGGTATGGTGTGCACAAATTGGGAAAAAAAAAGGGCAAATTCCACTTTACCCCCCTGTGGTTTAGCGTTTTTTCACATAACCCCCCTATGATTTCAAAAGTTATACATAACCCTTTATGGTTTGGATTAAAGTGTCAAAGTGACGGGAATGATCATTCATAACGGCGTCAACTAAAATGTCAAAAATATCCTTATGTAAAGTTGAAATTTATGTATTAACCAAGGGGGGTTATGTGTATATTTTGAAAATCATAAGGGGGTTATATGGTAAAATATTAAACCATAAGGGGGTTATATGGTAAAATATAAAAATCATACGGGTTTAATATGTCATGTATTTATAAGGGTAATTTCGACATTTTTAGAAGTTCCGTTACGAGTGACTATTTCCGTTACTTTGACATTTTAATCCAAACCATGAGGGGGTTATGTATAGCTTTTGAAACCATAGGGGGGTTATGTAAAAAAAGTGTAAACCACAGGGGGGTAAAATATAATTTACCCAAAAAAAAACCCAAAACTCATGAACTTGATTAGTGATGATCACCTTCTAAAGTTGAGAAGAAATACATGTATATTAGTCTTGTACTCGAGAGATGAAACGTAGATAATTTCTTTTTGCCGTCATCAAGCAACATCGTCTCTCATTTTCTGCTATGATTGTTGTTTGACCATAACAGAAGTCAGTCCACCTACCCAATCACCTGAGCTTGCTCCAAGCCCTCCCTGGCCAAAAAAGAAATCAGACGCATGGAAAGTGAAGTTATCTATTGCTGCTGCAGCAGTATTTCTCGGGGCTCTTGCGTTACTCTATTTATGTTGCAATCTGCAAAGAAAAAATCACCATCATGAAGATACATTAAACAATAGTACTCATGGTACGTCGTTAACTTGCAGTAAATCATAATTGTCATATCGATTCTATGCTAAAACACTTGCAACATCCTGATGGACAAAGTTATTGTTGTTTGATCTATCAGGGCCTGGGAACTTCCAGCTTCCTGATGAAAGGGATCATGAATTACCCCTTTTCGAATTTAGCATCATAACATTTGCGACTGATCAGTTTTCTGAAGAAAACAAACTTGTCCAAGGAGAATTTGGTTCTGTTTACAAGGTAAAGATGTTATTTTATACAGAAAAGCTTATCATGATATATTTCAAGATTTTATGCTGCATTTAGATTGTATCCAGCATGAGACAGTGAAGTTGTACAACGAGATATGAATAAAAGTACAGCTTACACCAAAAGGAAAAAAAAAAAAAAAGAGGAGAAAAGTTATACAAGACAATAGACAATAGACGTTAACTATTTTGTTCCCATGATTTTTCTATTTTAGGAACGTAATTGAGCCATATATGCTTTTTCTTATTTTTCAATCACTTATCCCTAAATAGCAAGTTTTGTGGTTCAGGGTAAGTTGCCTACTGGACAGGAGATTGCGGTGAAAAGATTGAATATATTGTCTGGGCATGGAATTGATAAACAATTCAAGACCGAAGTTGCAGCGATGTCTAAGCTGCAACACCGAAACCTTGTAAAACTTTTGGGATACTCCATTCATGGAGAGGACCGGATATTAGTTTACGAGTACCTACCCAATGGTAGCTTGGATTCATTTATTTTTGGTGAGATCAACCAGCTAGATACCTATTTTGCCCAATATGGGTTTGCCTTCTATTCTCTAATCCTCTACAGATTAGCCATAGAAAAGAAAATGAAAACAAAAGATAGAATATCTATGTTTTCTTGTCTCTGGCTGATTTACTTATAAATAAATTATATATGTAATAGATTTTCTTTTTTCACAGATGCTACAACACAGGGAGTACTAGATTGGAAAAGGCGTTCTCATATTATTGAAGGCATAGCTCAAGGGCTGCTGTACCTCCACAAGTATTCCAGACTAAGAATCATCCACAAAGATCTCAAAACAAGCAATGTCTTGCTGGACAATAACCTGAATCCCAAAATTTCTGGTTTTGGGGCTGCAAAAGTTTTTGGAGAAGATGAATCACGTGCAAGTACATTGAACATTATAGGGACATAGTAAGTATCCATTCTCATTTACCTAATTAGAAAAGTATGGAAATTTCCAAACTTATAAGTAGCAGCTTTTTTATTTATTTATTTATTTATTTTTTGAGTAGCAGCTTTGTTACTATGACAGAAGTATATGACTTAGTGATGTTATTAAACAGTGGTTACATGTCTCCTGAGTATGCAATGAATGGAATAATCTCTGAGAAGTCTGATGTATATAGCTTTGGAGTCATGATGTTGGAGACCATAACTGGCAAGAAAGTCACTTCTTTCAATGATACAGATGATCGTTTTACCTTAGTCGGACATGTGAGCATCTTGACAAGTTACAGTTCTAATTCATAGAATATTCCAATTTCTTCAAGTTTAGCTCAATTTATCTGAGGAATACCATGTGTCTCACACTTTCTTTCTCTGTATATTTCAGGTGTGGGATTTATGGAAAGAAGGAAGGATTTCAGACATAGCAGATCCCAGTCTAGGTGAAACAATTCCCATGCATGAAATTTCAAGATGTGTTCAAGTTGGGCTGTTATGCGTTGAAGAAAATGCAGCAGATAGACCATGCATGTCTGATGTGATTTCCATGCTTAACAACCAATTCCTAGTAGGCCTTCTTGTTCCAAGTCGACCTACCGGCTGCCGAAACAAAGGCAACTTCGTTCAAAATCCAGACTGCTCCAACAACTCAGTGACGATTTCGGATTTGGAGGCTCGATGATGTTTTACAGAGGAATAAATTAATTTGTATTCTTTTTTAACACTGGACATTTACCTTTTCTCATACCCTCCCCCTAAAAGTATCTCCTTGTGACATTTTTCAATCATCATCATCATCATCGTTATTAATTTTTTTACAGGCAACAGGTAATTTCATGGTTAATCATAGTTTTGTGTAATTTATAACAAGTGACTTGGAAATTGCCTTCCAATCTCATAATTACAAAGAAATTGACTTGTCCAAAAAGCAAGTACGAACGAAATTGCAGAATATTAAAAAAATCTACATTCCCTTTTCTTTAATTGGCGGTGGTATTTAAGGCTCGATTTCATTCGAGAAACGGTAACGCGGACTACATATACTAGTGTTAAGGGCACACCCAATTGTATGGATTTTGTTTGTTACATACAAAAGATTTATATAAAATTTTCAATAGAAAATTTTGATTTATATTGTAATTACAATACTTAGGGTGCTATGAGTGGTTATATTGGCAAAATGTGATTAATGATTAGGATAAAAAATAATTTTTAAATGAATAAAATTGAAAGTTCAAAAGATGATAAAAAGTGTTTACACCAACTGCAATTGCTCAGGCATATATTGTACAGATATATCTCTCATAATCTATAGAATTGCAGAATTTCTTCTCATCTATGAGAATAACTAGGATCATTGGATCAACAATGAAATAAGCTAAGATTAAGATGAATTCTCATCTTGTGAGCAATTCCGTAGTTTTTTTTTTTTTTTGGTAGGAAAGACTTGCATAAAATAAAAGGGTACAATTCCGTAGTTATCTGGCATGCATTTGCTTTTTCCAATTTTATATGTTGTTACGCAGGAATTGTGGTGAACATTGACTTGCAGCTAATTATATGTGGTCTTTCCGAGTCTTTACTATAACAAAACCCTTTTTATTTCTGGAATTCATCGATAGTGTTTGGATATGAGATTGTTTGAAAATAATTTATTTGGAATAGTATTGTAACATTTTTTGTAATATGATGCAAGTAAAATAAAAGAAAGCGATCGATTATTGTATTTAAAATGCAAGCAGAATAATATTTGTAATTTTTTGCTTAAATTACATAGTCAAATGGACCCGAACGATGACACACTTGAATTTCGATGTGTTACACCCATTGATTCATCAATGACTATAATATTCTCTGCTATTGTTATACACTGGCATGCCATTAATGGAAAATTTTATTAATTTGCATTTCTATTTTCTCTTGGCTTGTTTTTTCAACGATTGCTCATGGAGCACTCGCTAATATATATAAATTGCATCCAACCTACTATATAAATATACACACTAATCTTATATACCTCGTCAGTGCATGTATACACTATCACCATTATATATATATATATATGATACATGTGCAAAATTTGAATGTGAAATTCAAAATTTACTTATGTATCATCCATCTAACCGTAATAACGTGTACACTGACAGTATATATAAAATTTACTCAAAGAATATTCCGGGCATCATTTTGACCATACCTTCCTTCTCCTGAATTGACAATCCTTTGGAAGGACGGAATGGAGTGAATGATTTCCTCCCAGTCAGACAAAGGATTACAGCACAATTAGCATTATTTTAATAGCATTATTTTAATACTAGAATTTTGGTTTTAATTTCGGAATACAAACACGTACTCGCATAATTTAATGTAATTAAGAACTTCGTTGATTAAATATGTGAGTTAGCAGCACGAAATTTTGTCTGTAAGTATAAATTCGATCCTCTTTCTTGTCGGCAGGGAGTATTTTTTGTGAGGTAAATTTGAGATTTACGTGAAGAAGTAGTTCCCAATATAAAATGATGGGGCTTTGGCTTAAAGAATCATTTCTACGGACAATTGAATTCGAGAAAGTCTGGGTCAACATTTACCTGCTGCCGGGTCGTCCGAGTACAAATATGGCTGGTTTTGTAACCTTCCCCCGGTTTGAACCATTTTCGGTCAGTTCCAATCCCTGTAGGGTCCATTCCAACTGGAACTTCAAATACGTGCGAAGACCGCTGACCACTCCGTCAAAGAGGATAAGAGCTTGAGTTACTCCAAAACGTAAAATCAAATAGGATAGTGCTTCAAATATTTTGACTTTGTACCATGAGACTTTATTCCTTTTACATTCCTTGCGTGCGAGACGAATAATTTTTCATTCCTTTTATGTTCTTTATATGTGAAATGATGATTTTTTTTTGGTCCATCGTCTTATTTTTTGTTCAAAAAAAAAAAAAACATTTAGTACACTTCATGCCTCACAAACTTCAGGAGTAAAATTGAAAGATTACAAAAAGAAAAAGTCCTTCATATTTCTTTCTTGTTTATCCTAATTTCTTAACTAGGAATGTGGCAAAAACGTACCATGACTGCTTCTGGCCGCTGAACTTTAGGTCATAAAATTTTGTCAAACTTCAACTTTGGACTCAGTTTTTTGTGTGAAATCTGATTTCGACATTAGTTTTTGGCAAAGATGAACAAATGTGGGTAAAAATAAAAAGAAAAAAAATTGGCAGGCTGAATTTGATTTCAATGTTAGTTTTGTATTTTTTTTTCTAAAATTTTACAGCCACTATTTTTATTTAAAAAAAAATCATCCCCACCAGCATACAGCCACAAGTATTTAAAAAAAAAAATCAAAATGTGCCAAATTCGGAGTGAAGGGCAACAAAATCATCCCCACCAATAGTGTCAATGCTTACCAGCATCAACTTTACCATTACCACCACAGCAGTCATAGGAATGGATTGTGAGAGATTGTCATTTAATAAAAATTTTATTGTCAAGAATTAATGTTTTATTTGAATTTGTGAGAAGATCAAATAGATTTAGTTTAATTTGAATGGATTAATAGTATTTTAATTTGAATGGATTAAAATGTTTTATTGTCACATGTAGAACCCAATTTAGGATTCTAATAAAAATTGATGTTTGCAAGTTTACAAAATTGAAAGAATAAAATAATTATTTAAAATCTATGTGAGAGAGAAGAAAATAATAATTCACACTATTATTGAAATTTCAACACAATGAAACAAAGTCACATAACAACATAACCTTATAGATTCTTCTTTCTGGATTCTCTTAAGAAATATCTCAACTAATTCTCTATTATAACTTACCAGACTTATTGAGTAAGAAATCACTTACATCAATAATTACGAAACAAAACACGAACTCGTAGATCACACAACTACTAAAAATCTGACTCCAACAATACTCTTAAATAAATAAACAAATACTTCTAAGATTTGATTTATTTTATCAACATTGTCGTTCTTAAATCAAACTCTCCATTAAGACAGGCCCATCATTCTTGAACAACTAGTGTTATTGAGAACTTTGTAGTCATAGAGACGATCTGCAACACCTGGAAATTAATTTTTATCTTTACTCGTGATAGTGGACGAAGTTTACACTTTATAAAAAATTTCTCAACAATTTCTTCTCTATCAGAATAGTCATTTATGCAAATCTATTCATCACCCAAGTCACCATATTTATTTTCAATATAGGTGCCCAAAAATACAAAATCATAATTTCTTTCTTGCCAAAATGATCATCACCAAACAATTCAAAAACTCCACTACCACAATTCCTTATACTATAAGAATGAATTGTGGTTAGAGAGGGGTTTTAAATTTCAACTGCACGAATAGGGACATTTTCGAAATGTGGAATGATGTGGAGCTTATTTTTAGATTTGGGTACAAGTGATGGTAGCATGTATTGTGGTATGTTTTCAAAAATCTTCTCACGTTTGTACATTTAAAACGTTTATTTATGGAGATATTTGGGTATTTTTGGAATGTGAAATTATTTTATAATCATTTTTGCATCAGGTACAAATCATACAAGCTTATGTATTGGTGTAATTACTTAAATGATATTACAGACACGTTTACTTGAAGTGTGGTATTTATTGTGGAATTGAAATGAAGACACATTACCCTAATCTTACAATCTTACTGCTTGAAGATATTCAATTGCTTGAAACATATTCAATTGCTTTTGCCATTTACATCTCAATTAAACTAAAGAAAACATGGGTATGTTAATGAATTAATGCCTCAGCATCAGTTATGGTTTCAAATGCCTTCTTCTTCACATTCTTTGATTTTTTGCCTTTCGACTTTCAGGATTGGGCTATTTTGCTACCTTTATACTCTGCATTACAAAACGGTTTTTAGGCGAAACTATTTTTGGTGGTTCAACTTGAGGTAAGTTTTGTTCCTTAATTTTATTATTTATGTGGGTGGGTTTAGAGGTGTGTAGTATTGGGTGACTGTTTCCATTGTAAAATTTGAAAATCTGGTTGTATAATTTAACTGTAATATTATGATTTTTTCACAAATTTGGTTGGTCTGTAATTTGAATGGTGTGGTTATGATGTAATAGGTTTGGAGCAACTATAAGAAAAAAAATTTTCCTCTCTGCCCGGGGGGAGGGTATCTGGAATAAGGTAAACCCAAAAAGCACCTTAATTAGTTCAATTATGGAGTGTTTTTTGGCTGCATGGAGTAAGTGATTCATATATGAAATTCATTTTGATAGTAGTTTGACAGTGAAGCATTGTGAATTGGTAGGTTACATGGTATACTATTGATTTGCGTTTGAATTGTTTAGCCACCGATGAATTAGTAGAATACACACCTTTTAAGTCATTCATATTGGTAGTGTTTCACATATACCTTCTAATTAAACAAAGGTAATAGAAATGATTCAATTTCCTTAGGCAGTGATGAAGTTGTAGAAACTCCTTCAAGCAAACAACTTCAGTGAGTGCTTTTTTATATTATAGAACATTGAATGCTTTCTTATACAGGTGAACAAAACTAAAATTGTTGCAAAAAACTAAAAAGATGAACCAAAAAGAAACCAAAAAGATGTGAAACAAAACTTCACAATATACAAGAATGAGTGTGGCTTTGAATTTTAACCCCAAGAACAAACATATAACTAATGAAATTACTTGTAATC